ATTCAAACACTTATATTCTTCATAAATTGATGATCATTTAACTATTTTCCCCAGGATTCAAATACAGGAAATGACCAACCAATCTACTGTGAGAGAGTTTGTTCTGATGGGATTTTCTGATGAACGGGATTTGCAAATGCTGTACTCTCTGATGTTTCTTATTGTTTACATAACAGCCTTAACAGGAAATGGTCTCATTGTAATAGCAGTGGCACTCGACCACCACCTTCACAGTCCAATGTACTACTTTTTGGTCAACCTCTCCCTTTTAGATATCTGTTCCATCTCTACGACAGTTCCCAAATCCATAGCTGTTTCATGGACAAACAACAGACAGATTTCTTTTGCCGGGTGTGTCACTCAGATCTTTTTAATGGTCACATTTGTTGGTGGCGAGCTTGCTTTGTTAACCATCATGGCTTATGACCGTTATGTAGCCATCTGCCGTCCTTTGCAATACAGGCTGATCATGAACTGGAATGCCTGCATTCAAATGGTAGCAATTTCCTTCATATGCAATCTGATCCATGCGGTGATAGAAACCAGTATGACTTTTCGTTTAAACTTCTGTGGATCCAAAATAATTGGCCAGTATTTCTGTGACATTCCTCAGTTACAAAAGATTTCTTGCACAGATACAAAAGTCAATCAAATGGTGATACTTCTTGGGTTCCTTTTGGACTCCTTTATTTTTGCTTTCATCTTTGCTTCTTACACCTATATCTTCTCGGCAGTGATGAAAATTCCATCAGTTCAAAGCAGGCACAAAGTTTTTTCAACCTGTACTCCCCACCTAACTGTTTTTTCTTTATTTATCGTCACAGCTGTATTTTCATATATGAGACCCAAATCACTCTCTACTCCTTCTGTGGACTTGCTTTCTGCTGTTTTGTACACAGCTTTGCCACCAGTTTTGAATCCTATTATTTACAGCTTTAGGAACAAGGACATACAAAAGGGTCTCCTGAAAATTCTGAAAAAGATAAGTATTTTGTGACATGATTGCAGTCATTGATATCTTCTTTACAAAATAATAAGCATGGTACAACTGTGATGTGAATTAGCATTTGTAGCTATATTTCTTTGTATTCATTACTAATGTGTTGCATCGAGATAACTTGATTTTAATTTGAGGGTGGGTCCTTCTATTCAGAGGTTTAATTGCTTAAAAAAAAAATCTCAATTATTTAACTACTAAACCTAAAGCCCATCTTTCTTTCAGGAACTGGCAGGTAGTATCCATGGCATGCCTGCATCCTATTTTTCCCCACAACAACACTCTGAGGTAGGTTTGGCTAAGATAGAATGATTGATCTGAAGTCACCCAATGAGTTTTCACAAATGAGAATGAACTAGAATGTGGATCTCCCAACCTTCTTCTAACATCTTAACTATGGATCTACACTATATTTGATCTTTAGATAGATAGCTGATAGATAGATACTGAGATAGATAGATAGATAGATAGATAGATAGATAGATAGATAGATAGATGGATGGATGGATGGATGGGATGGGATGGGATGGGAGGGGAGGGGAGGGGAGGGGATGGGGATGGGGATGGGGATGGGGATGGGGATGGGGATGGGGATGGGGATGGGGATGGGGATGGGATGGGATGGGATGGGATGGGTGGGTGGATGGATGGATGGATGGATGGATAGTCCTCTTCTGTGATACATTATAGAACAGTATCTGAAATTCTTAATAAATGATAAACATCTTCATGTTAGATTTAGTCATCCAAAAATAGAGATTTAATATGTTTCATATGTAAGTCTCTCTTTCTCTCTCTCCAACAAAATATTTAAATAGGTGTTGTGTCAGTGCATCAGTTTTTGACAAATTCTGAATTCAAACATGGATTGAGATCATTCTGACCAGTTGTTTGTTTATGCAAGGTAGACAGAATGGCTCTCTTCTCCTTGTCCTGATTCAAAAGCATCCATGAAATTCTGGACCTGATTTCCCCTTTATTATCCTGGTCGTCCAATACTTTTCAAATGGAATTTCAGGAACAGACATGCCAGATAAGGAGATAAACAAAATAAAGATAAACAGATAAGCAATATGTATATATGGTCACTTTTATAAAACATGATGGTGATGGGTTGATAAAGGAGGGAATGGTGTCCAATGATCAAAGAGCTCTTGAGATCAGCTTATAATTGGTCAATATCATGAATAAGTCCCTTGCAAACAGACCCAGTAGAGCTATTGTGAAAAATATCTGGTTGTAAAAATGCTGACATGCAATACATCTCAGTTAGATAAGTGTCTCTCTTTGAGTGAGATGGGAGGTGGCTAAATTTGAAAAACAAACAAATGAACAAGCTATATACATATGAATAACCTGAATTAATTTCATATATGATAACTGCTGCTAGAGTGCTTTGCGCTTTTTACTAGAAATCACGTTTAATTCCTTTATTAGAGGATTGACATCTAAACTATGGGAATATGTGTCAATGTCTAAAACAACTTCATATATCAGAAATGTCTGATGTTAGCTTCAATTTTTGCAAGGGAGAGTGCAGCCCCTTTGCTTTGTTCCTGTCTGGTTTGTCATTTTCACCATCTTTTATTTTTCACTGGTTATAAATGGTCTTTTTATTGTTTTACTTGTTGTGAGCCACTCAGAGACCTTGGGAGTTGAGTGGCTTACAAATTTGATAATTTCATGAATAAATATAAATACATTTAACCTGGAAATTGTCTATGGATTATAACTCTGTTCAAAGCTTGCTTTTATATACAGGGCTTGGATTTTCTTAAAATCAGAGTTCTAAACTCTTTCACTGTGATTGTTTATTTATATTATATTGATCTCAAAACCAAGGTGAAATTTGATTTTGACAATAATCAAATAAAAGTTCTGAAAGTGCTAAACTGTCATGAAACTACTTTTAGATTTGCTTTAATTCAAGCTGATATATAAGGACAAAAGTATGATGTTTCTTCCAATTAAATACTTTGTATTTTCTTCTAATTTTATGTTACTCCACAAACCTTTCCATGAAATATCTGTATTTTGTAATTTCTATTTTTTTTTTTTTTTTTGGTCTTTTCATAGAGAATAAAGATCTTCTAATCCATCTCCCTGCCTAGTGCAGGAATCCTCTTTCTTTCCTTTTAAAATTAATTATTATTATTTTTTTAAGAATAAAGCTAATCCACCTTAAAATATAAGGCAGTGAATTTTTTTATCTAGTTTTAAGGTAATATGTTTCCAAGTTCTCAGGAGTTCCATGCATAAGTTTTAACGGGAGAGGCAATTCTGAAAATACCTAGAAGCCAATCTTTAAAGCTTTATAGGTTAAACCAGTACTTTGAGTTATACCTGGAAATATATCGATTGTCCATAGAACACTTCTAGGTCTATGGTTGCCATTATCTGCCAATAGATGAGCTGATACATTTTACATAAATTACAGTTGCTGAATAGTGTTCAAAATCATGGATGGTGATAAAGGCATAAGTTACTGTTCTCAGGATTTCCATCTCAAGCTAGGACCACAACTGATGCACCAGCCAAAGTAAGGGAGGGCCACATGGCCACAGCTGCCACCTGAAAATCCAGCACTTGCTGTGAATCCACAGTGACTCTCAAGTTACAGGCCTGTATTTTATGGGGATTCCATCCTGAGTTGAACATGATTTCTGAACAAGTAGCGACTCCAACTTGCTTAGATTCCACTTGAGCCTCTTTTGTCCTATTCATCTCTAGACACTGTTTCAAATGCAGCCCATGAAGAGTCAAGACATGAGTAAATTATAGTGATTTTATCAGCTACCAGTATGCCACATCAGCCTCCTGGCAGATCTTCCTGTGCATCCTTACCTAGCAGGAGAAGGCCACCTTAAATACTATTATATTGAATGCTTGGCTGTGTTTAACAGTCTTCAATGGTCTCCCATACACATGCATGTATATGCAAATGGCCATTTTATTGAAGCAAAATGGTTCCACCTTGATGCTTTGATTCAAGGCATTGAAGCAGAGAAAGTCAATGTTTGTCAAAATTCTGAGATGGAGTGATGTATTAGTTCTAGAAACTTTAGTAACACTTGAGTAGGACTTGGTGATGATCAAGGCCCAGGTTAGGGCTTTTTTTTTTTGTTTGCTTCTTACTCACATGCAGACACTCATACTTCTGCAACTTCCCTCATGTACAAATACATTTCACAATTAATATTTATGTACCCCACACAGACTAAGTTGGCATATCATAATTGCCCTGTTCCAATATATAGTACTGCAGAACTGCATGGCTCTTTGGTGGATCTTATTCATCTCCCATACATTTTTGTGATCAGGAAAAGAAAGTCAAGCTGATTTCCAAGAATCAAGGATCAAAATATTGACTGTGTGTTTGTATACATGTTACTTTTTGTCCAAGTTCCTCAAATAACTAGAATTAAGTAGGGCTATTTCAGATGCAGTTTGTAACAGTAAAAATTGGGGAATACAAATGTATTTATTTATTCATACAGATATGTAAATGCATATACATACAATTTCTATATCACTATTCAGTAATGAAAAAGAATTCCAAAATACATTCTTCTGCCAATCTGGATCCCATTTGAAGATTAAAAGTTAGAGGTTACCACAGCAGGGTAGAAAGAGATGGAAAACATGGTTAACTAAATAGCATATTTGTTAGTAAAGCTCTCTACAATGTTACAAAACAAAGAAGGCCTCCAAGGAGTAACTCCCTGAAGAACCACAGAAAACAAGGGAAACTAACATACACACACCCTGCTGTTTGCTTTTAACAAGGGTCTCATTTAACCACAGTGATACACTGATCTTCTAAAGAAAATTAGTGAGTACAAACTTCTTCATTTCTCCTGAAGAAAGACAAGGGTAGCTAGAATGCTCAAGAAATGAATGAGTTCTGAAAAAAGCGTGGCATTGGAGTAAATCTTTTTATCTGAAATTCCTGCTTTTGCTAAACAGGACTATGCTTCAGAATTTAAAGTAGGTGTTCTAGAGAGGAAAATGTAATGGGAAAGATGGAAAACTCAATTGCTCATTTATAAGTAAAGATTTGTGTTGCATTGTAAAATGGCAATGACCTCTGAAGAAATACCACAAAATATAAGGATGACTGAGTATCTTCCTGTCCTTTGCAGCACACATGTATTTCATTAAATACCACATTCAAATCATTGATCTTCTGAAGAGAAAATATTATTCATCTGATCCCAGGAAAGATCAGGGCTTCAAGGATGCTTAAAAAAATGTTTTTATGAATTTCTGGAACATTTCATAATTCTGTATATTAATTTCAAAGTTTTGAAGAACATCCATTAATTTATACTTCACAAATTCTACACTTTTCCTTAATAATAATAATAACATCAAGTCATTATGGTTTACAGAAAGGGGTGGGGGGAGGGCTGTAGTTTTTGATTTGTTTCTGTTACAAATAAAAATACTAACATTTTGGAAGCTTGATTTTCAGATGCCACACATTCAATTTTATGCTTTCTGGCTAAGTTAACCCACAGATATCTCATTGCAGTGAATTCCTATTTTGTAAGTGAATAGTACTGGAAAAGAATGTATTAGAAGTAGGACATGGCAATTGTTTGTATCTGGGCCTCTGAAAATGTGGGTGGGATATTTGGAATGTATCAGCCTGCAAGGGGATGGAGGGAGGATATTCCTAAAAGTATATTCCTCATCTCTCATGTTCTTTTAACTTCATTTTGTAGGATTAAATAAGTGGAATGACCAACCAGACTACTGTGAGATATTTTGTCCTGATGGGATTTTCTAATGACTGGGATTTGCAAATTTTGCACTCTGTGATGTTTCTCTTTATTTACTTAATTGCTTTAATGGGGAATTGTCTCATTATAATGGCAGTGGCATTTGACCACCATCTTCACAGTCCAATGTATTTCTTTTTGGTGAACCTTTCCTTGGTAGATATTTGTTCTATTTCTACCACACTTCCCAAATCCATAGCTGTATCACTGACAAAC